AGACGTAATAGGTGTTGCCAGGAGCAGACATTTCTCATTGTCAAGAAAAACCCTAAGCCATTTTAAATGCCATTTTCTGAAGGTCTTTGAAAGGTTTGAAGACTATCTATCTCAAATATATCTCTGTATATCTAGAAAACCTAAATAACCTAACCATAAATTCTGACTATTATAAGTAACTATCTATAGTCTGTATTTAATTATGCATTATGTTTTAAAAGATCAGTATAATCACAATACTTAATCAAGAGGAGAAATATACACATCACAAAATTGACCTTGAATTTGTATCAATAAATGAAAAACCATACCAATACAAAGTACTCATTTCCATACCATAATCCCCTTTTTCCTTTAAAAAGGATTGGTTGTGATCATTAAGCAATTATAAACAAGTCCATTCAAATGAAAACAAAAATTTATAAACAATATGGGAATTAGGACATTGCTCATTCCAAACTGCTTCATGCTGGAAAGAGGCACTGTTCATACCATGGGTGTCATGACAAAACTCAGAAACCTGTATAAGTCCTTGTTTTCGGGGTCTGGAAAGCTCCATCATTTTAGCTGTTTTTAGATGTTGAATCCCTTGGGCCATTGCTTCTGGGGGTCTTGTTTCATCAAACCACTGAAGCCTGGAAGGAATCCTCAGCTTTTCATGTTCTGTGGAAACATAAACAATAACTCCTTTCCAAAGTAACATATCCTTATATTTAAATTTTGATGTCAAGGCATTTTCAAAATATATAAGTTGAATTAATTCAGCAGCATTTATAATCAAGTGTACTTTAGCAGTTGTTCCTTCCTGAGCAATCAAAAAACTGAAAAACACAATAGCATACAGTATCCAGACTCTCTGTGTATTTTCCATCTTTATGTGGCTTATTTATTTATCTATTATTATTACTCTATTTATTTTACTTTTATTTATTTTTCTATGAGACAGGGCTTCTCTTTGGAAATCTGCCTGTCTTTGCCTCTGCAGGAAATCCTACCAGTGTGTGCCACCACAGCCAGCTTCTCTATTTATTTACCACTATGTCGTTTTTTTCTCTCTCAATCTTACGTATATTTTTAAACACACTGTAAACCTTTAGAGGGTTTTATTTATCCAAGTCTGACTTTACTGTAAATCTTTATAATTTTCTGGCCACGTGTCTTATCTGTTAAAACCGAAGCTGTTTAAACTGCAATTTTTCTAAGATGGCGGGTATAAGCATGACTCCAGCTCACTGGATCAGTCCATGGTGACATCCAGCAAAAGCTGCTGGCTTGGAGATGTGGTCACTGCCACTTCCAGCTATACGAGCACACCTTTCAATCATAGCAGAGCCTCTTAAAAGAACCTTTCTGGTTTTCTTTTTTTTTTTTAATGCTGAGTCAGGAAGATTCCCTTATGCAAGCCACATGAGTCTCTGCTTGTTGCTAGCAAAACAGAGCCCACCTGAGAAAATGCTGCTACCAAAAAGTTGTGCTTCTCTCTGTTCTTTTGTTTCTAAAATTCCTTTAAAGCTTTTGTCATTCTACGTGGAAATTCAATCCCGCTCCTGACACCATTATGTAAATAGAAGCCTTCCCACCAGCCTGGTTCCAGAGCCGCATCAGTCCCAAATAAACACACAGGAGGCTATATTATTTATGAAGCTGTTCGCCTTGCTTGTTTCTTACTGGCTAGCTCTGACTTAAGTATTTATCCCATAATTGTTAATCTAAGTATTTCTCTTACCAGAGAAGTTTCTGGTCTTCTTATCCCTATAGCGGTTACATCTTGACTCCCTGTGTTTCTCCTTCCCAGCGTCCTCCTGGACTTCTAGTCCCACCTATCTTGCTTCCCTATTGGCCAACAGTGCTTTATTGACATATACACAGGACTTCAATGAACTTATATTCTAGAAAGAGACATCACTTACCCCACAACACTTGCAAGGAATATTACCAAACAACACTTGCAAGAAATGAGTTGATTATTAAGTTACCTCTTTTAACACCAAAGGCAGTCATTGAAAACATCTGTTATATTTATATAATTTTAGAACAAGATGCAAGTGAATCTGTAATAAACCTCAAGATGAAAAGAAAAGTACTTAAGCTAATTCAAAATAGAGAACCCAAATGTTAACACTAACAAAAGCAGCCAGGACAATTTTTAGAGATCCCCCTGGAAGGAGACCAGTGAATAAGTAAAGTTCTTCCCCAAGGTTGGTGGACTCCTAAATTGCATCTGTTCCTATAGGTTGTCTTATACTAGGAAATGATCTCAGAGTAGTTTCAAGTGAAGCATAGAGACAAGTTTGGAGTAAACAATTTCTTAGTCTTCCTTCCTGAAACACCTAACCATTCTCACCTGCATAATGGGGATAACAAAGGCACCTAATTCTTGGGTCTTAAGATATTTTAATTACTTTATTGTATGTGACATGCTTGGGAGGGTTCCTGACACACACAACACTTTGAAGACGTTAGCTTATAACACTCCAGCCTCTACTTTCTATCCCCTTTATTCATTCTATGAACAGTTACCAGAACTATGTATAAACAAAGAGACAACAACAGAGAGGGCTTTGTTGTCAGCTAATGCTAATAACAGCAGGTCAGTAGGACTTCAGGAATACTGGATGAAAATGGAGCTTGATTTTTATGTTCACTAGGTTTCCCCATCACAAAATGGAAAACAGAAAAATTAAATGTAACCTTCAAACCTCCTTGGCCATTAATCAGAAACAATCCCATGTCAATGCAAATGTGGTTTGCAGGACTAGATTTTTAAAGATGGCCCTTGACATATTTTGATAACAAAATCCCTTTTAAAAATCATCATTATGCAATCACTTTCATATTAGTAGCAAAAATAAATTTTGGTAAGCAAATTATATCTTTCTTGCTTTAAGCAAATGCTGTTAAATTAGAAAGCCATACTGAACCAAGACTCTTCACACAGATTTAAATTAGCACTAATAAAGAAAGAGCCAAAGGATCTCATCTTTTGCTATGAGGCTTAAACACAGCCTGATATTTATATTCCAGAAATAGGAACCCAGTCGTGTCCTTTGAAAAGGTGGCTGAATTAAACAAGGGAAATAATGAAATCGAGTATATGCATTGTCATGTTTCTGGCTCACTTTAAAGAAAACTGGTTATTTTGAGTTAACTCACATATGTAGGAATAAATACATTCAAGGCTCAGGCACCAAATTGCAAGCAGATGGATAGGGAGTCTGTCTGAGTTCAGCAGTGTGAGTTCCAGAGACTGCTAAATGGAGTTACTCGGTGCACGTGGTCCATAGACCAGCCTCATCCTTCACATCTTATCCAAACATATGGAGTTTGGAAGGGGCAGGTGATATTGGACTTATGACTGAGTCCTCATCTCTGCTGCTTTGATGCTAGATGATAGAAAAAATCATGAGAATGGTTGGTTTGGGCAAAGAGTCAGCAGGAAGAGAAGGTAGAAAGGTAGTGAAGGGCTTTTCTATAAGGGAAAGGTCAAAGTCCACTTTCCTCAAGAGAGCTCAGACACCTTTATCTACATTCTTCTGTCAATTTCCTTTCCAGAAGTCCCACGACTTGGAGAAAGTGACTGTAGATCAGGAGTGTCACTATACCCAGGCACTGGAGAGGTGACTCAGTGAGTAAATTGCTTGTTGTATAAGCATGAGGGCCTGAGTTTAATTCCAGAATCCACACAAAACCCAGGAGCAGCTGTACACTTAGGTAACTGTAGCAAGAGAGAAATGAAAATAGGCATATTTCAGAGATTTGCTTGCCAGCCAATATATTTAATTTAGCTTGAGGTTCAGTGAGAGAAAAATAAAGTGGAGAGTGATAGAGAAAGACCCTCAGGGTTAAACTCTGGCCTCTGAACATGCATTTAGAACATGTGAACAGGTGTTACATACACATAGTCTCTCTCTCTCTCTCTCTCTCTCTCTCTCTCACACACACACACACACACACATACACACACAGATCTGCATTCCACACTGTAAATTCCAACAGAGATTGTCCTAACCCATTTAAACTACTCCTTCTAGCAATAAAACAAACAGGAAATATATAAGGATGTAAGTTGTGTGTGTGTGTGTGTGTGTGTGTGTGTGTGTGTGTAAAGAAACAGCAAAGGCTATTTACATTAACAAAATATTGCTTAAAAAAAAGTGGAACCTAGTGACAGAGATGGAGGAGTGATGAGCAAAGTGGTCAAGACCATGATGGTGAAACCCACAAAGACTCCATGAATGTATTGCCCGTGAGGAGGTCACAAAAATCACAGGGGGCTTGGGTAGTAGATCAGTGTTTACCATGGTGTATGAATGATCTTTGGGAGCCCATTCCAAATATAGGGATGCTCTCTCAGCCTGGACACTTGGGGAAGGGCCTAGGTCCTTCCCTGGATGAAATGACAGACTTTGGAGATTCCCCCCCAAGGAGGGCCTCACCCTCCCTGGGGAATGATGTGGGGATTGGGTGGGGGGTTGGGAGGGTTGGTGGAGGGACAAGGGAGGAGGGGTGGGAGAGGGAGCTGGGGTTGACATGTGAAGCATTCATGTTTCTAATTTAAATAAAAACATATATTGAGGGTAAAATAGTCCTTCCTGGCCTACCATGACTGCTTTCTTTAACCATCCACTGTGAAAACAGCTAACCATCTACTTACCAGATTTCCAATAGAAATCAGAGCAGGCTGAAAGCAAGTCTTTCAAGTGTCTCAAGAGAAATTTAATATGGCTTCCTTTGCAACTACAATACACAGAGTAATTTTCATGAGGAAGTGTGGCCAGTAGAAATCCAATGGTATTCCTTCTACCTGTGGCATACACCAATCTGATTATACCATTTTCCAGTTCCCTTCAATGGTTATCAATCTCTGTGATGCAAGAGGGCAGATAAATATTCTTAAGTTCCCCAAAAGAACCAGAAGGAGATCGAGACAGCTGGATCTTGAGAAAACTGAAACAGGTTTCACAAACTATCTTCTAAAACAGAAGGAAACAAACAATGGGTCATTCTGAGGAAAATTTTATTTCTCACTCTTGATTTCAATATGTCGTTGATATTAAAGTACCAAATTTGACAACTTCACTTTCTAGGTATTGTTTGTGCTGGCTAGATTTATGTCAACTTTTTATAAACTGAGGCATTTTGGAAGAGGGAGACTCAGTTGAGAAAATAGTCCCACTATACTGGCATGTGGGCAAGCCTATAGTGCATTTTCTTGATTGATGTTTGTAGAAATGGCCTGCTCACTGTGGGCAGTGTCATCCCTTGGCTGTTGGTCTTGGCTTCTATAATAAAGCAGAGTGAGAAAGCTGTGAGGAACAAGACAGTAAGCGGTATTCTCCATGGCCTCTGCATCAGTTCCTGCCTGCCTGAGTTCTTGCATTGACTTGCTACCTGGAAATAACACGTTAGATGTAAGATGAACTAAAACCTTTCCTCCATAAGTTGCTTTGGACCATGGTGTTGTATCATGGAGATTTGACTAAGACACTATTCATAAGATTCTCAAAACAAGTCATCTCAAGAAACAAATCACAATATTTTCTAAATTAACACTCAAGAATATTTAGAATACACTGGAGATGATCCAGCATTCATCAAATTTTAAAATATTTCAAAAAAGAGATAGAAGAATGATAAGATGAAACAAAACTAAATCATGGCAGCTTACAGAAGATGCTGATATATGCTAGAAATATAAATGCTTCAGTGTGTAATGGTTATACTTCTGTTTGGTCATGCCACATTAACAAAGAATAATTCCCCATATGTAACTTACAACTTAAGAAATACTTATTTCTTGGAAACAAACTCAGGTCCTCTACAAGAGAAGCAAATATTTCTAGCGACTGAGCCATTTATCCACCCCTAATTTACAAACTTTGCCTAAAAAGAAAGCACAATATTGAAGTATTTTGAAAACCATACTGATACATTCATGAGTCCCAATGTAAAGTTAAATTGCAAGAGTAAAATGGTCATGCTTAAAACTCTAGCTCAGAAAATCAGGGTCTAAATCAAGGGATAGTAATGGAATGTATTGTGCAATTTTGCTACTTATGTTGTCAATAATAAGATGGACATTAATGAAAGTAATAAACTATCAAGTCCACTATGAATGAACCCTGTATTAAATTCATTTGTAAAAATGATTTGAACCATTTAAATATTATTAAATCACAGCAAACTTAAAATGTGTTTTCTTCCTGTGGGCTCAGATGCATGGGAACAAAACTGTTATTGGCCAGGAATTGTACTGGTACCCTGAGTTATTACAGCAGGGAGTATTTCCTATCACCATCCAGCAAAGAGAGTTAGATCAAAAAGTGTGTCAAAATCTGATGGAAAACGAGTAGATGATATAGTATTTGTCCTAACTCATCAGTCAGGAAAGCATTCCTTTTTATTGCATTGAAACATAATTCAAAACTCTTCCCATCTTGTCCTATGCCTGCATTGCCTAATCATGTTCCAATATGTCAGCCTTCCGTGAGTAAGTGGGCAGAGTGAAATGCTGAGAAACCACCACCACAAGCATTTTCTTCATGAAGTGACCTACCCTCAGCCTTGGCTTGGTTCAAATCTGCATCTTTTATCATCTGTAGTGTTATCAAGGCTAGAATCTGGTCTCACACCGATACCACATCTCTTCTGATAATACTCCATGTTATATAAAAACTCTCATGTGACATGAAGAATCTGACCCCTCTTACTCAAAAAGGTTTGAGAAAATTGTTTGTGTCTCAACAGTCCTCAAAGAAGAAGTTAAATTATCTGATTAAAATTGGGATGAAAATATATACCCAGGCTCTTCAGTTTCTTTCAGCCTGATTAGTTATTTCCCATACAAACACTCTCAGAATCAGAAAAGGTGCTTCAAGGCAAGTGATCATAACATATTTTCTCCTCTTAAGAATGTATGAATTTAGAGAATTAGTCTAAAACCCATTCTCTTTTCTAGTTAGTTCTGTATTTAGTACTCTCCTGGAGTGTCTGACAGATACATTTATTTAATCTTTGCTGCATTCTTGTCTGTAGAGTCAAATTAAGGGGGAGACAGCTGGACAGCTGCCTGGGACATCAGTTCATAAAGCACATTACAACACCACTGGAAGAAAGTATAAGCACACTGCTAGTTAACTCAGCTTTCCACTGGAGACTACTAATATAATTGGCAGAAGGAAGCAACATGCTCAAGTGAAAATTGGGAAAACACTTTTCCTGGTGCCGAACTTCTCAGTTGAGTTGTTTTGCAAAGAATGATAGCAAATTGCATGTTGCAATTACAGACTTCTCCAGAAGCCTTGAGACAAGCCAGTTGATACTCAGGCAACATGCTAATGATGATATATGGCCAAACACTCAGTTATTTTCTCATCAGAAAATGGGCACTGCACTTTATTAGCTACATTTCAACTTGTGAAATACATGCCCAACATAGGTGATAGTTATGGTTATATATAAAATGGAAACAAGAACAAGAATGGGGGAGGGATAGGAGGTCATAATGTATCAACCCAAATGTCAGAGAATCTGAAAATGGGGATACATTTTGAACAAAATATCAAGCATTTGCCCCATGCAACACATACCCCTTTGTGACTCTTCTCTTCCTGTAATGGGTAAAAAGTACTATCTACTTAAGGGTGATAGGGTCAACACAAACAAAACTCCAGATAAGGTTTAAAATTACTTGAAAAAATCTTATCAACAGAAAGGTCCACTTATTCCTATCACTGGTGAAAAATGCTAAGTTTTTAATGAACATCAAATTAAAAGGTGACCCCACTATATTAGAATGGTATGACAACTCTTCTTATGCCAGCATCTGGTCATATGCAATTAATGTTTATCTATGTTATCCCTGATACAACAGACCTCAAGAGGCTAACAGATATTGCTTTTCATACTAGATTCCTGGGATTGCAAAACATTCCATCATAATCTGGATAGCTGAAAACTACCAAACCTCTTTTCATTGCTTTTTTTCCAATATATTTTTTAATTTAAATTAGAAACATGAATGCTTCTCATGTCAATCCCAGCTCCCTCTCTTACCTCTCCTCCCTTGTCCCTCTACAAACCCCCAGTCATCCATGGGGTTCTCCAGAATCTGTCATTTCATCTGGGGCAGGGTCTAGGCCCTCCCTTGTGTGTCCTGGATGAGAGAAGTTCCCTCAATGTAGAATGGGCTCCCAAAGTTCATTTGTATCCTATGGTAAACACTGATCTAGTACCCATGGCCCTAGAGATTGCTGAGGCCTCACTACATTCAGGGGGTCTGGATCAGTTCCCTGCTGGCTTCTCAGCCATTATTCTGGGGTCCAAGAGCTGCCCTTTGTCAGATCAGCTGTCTTTGTGGGTTTCACCAGCATGGTCTCAAACCCTTTGCTCATCACTCCTCCCTCTCTGTCACTGGGTTTCAGGAATTCAGTTAAGTTTTTAGCTGTGGGTATCTGCTTCTGATTCCATCAGTCACTGGATGAAGGTTCTAGGATGGCATATAAGGTAGTCCTCAATCTCATTATCAGGGAGGGGCTATTAATGTAGTCTCTCCACTATTTCTTAGTTTGCCAGTTGGCGTCATCCTTGTAGATCATTGGAAATCTCACTAGTGCCAGCTCTCTCCTCAAACCTATAATGGCTCTCATTCTTATGGCATCTTTCATCCTGCTTTGCTCTATTCTTCTCCTGACTCAACATTCCCACTCCCCCATGTCTTCCTCTCCCCTCCTCTTCTCCCCCTCTCTTTTTCCCAGTTCCCTCTCCCATTTATTTCTAAATATATATAAATAGGTACCAATCTTGCACTGGGACTTAAAGGAGTTGATATTTAGAATACATATTGTGCAACTAGCAAACATGTATAAATAAGAACATAATAAAGAGTCAATAGAAAGTACAGCTATTATTATTTGAGGTTCTATGTAATTCTTTGAAAATCTAATAAGGGTATTCTATAACTGACTTTAACCATAATACACTTTCAATCCAAATCTGAGGTACTATTTGAGAGAGTTTATGGGTCCTGGAAGACCATGTACAGATTCACAAATTAGCAACAAAGCACAAAGCCATGGGAAAATTATTAAATTCATAAAACATAAATTCAGACTCTGACTATAAAACTCATCACAAAATGACAGTGAGCACTTTAACACTGTCAGCAGTAGAATACTATGAATGTCTGACTTGTAGGGTTATGTTTAATTGGAAGAAGATCATCATTAATGGGGACCCATGTATCAGTTGTAAGTATTTCCTTGGTTATTATCATGAAAAAGAAGACAATATGGAAAAAGATTCAAGGAACTATGTGCAATTACAACTAGAACTAGAAGTTAGAGATATATAAAAGAGCTTGTCTCAGTGGGACTGAATTTTTCTAATTAGATGATTTCTTCATTGGAAATAGTCACTTGGTAACTGAAAGTCTAGTTATTCTTCATAACATGGACATAAGAGACTCAGGGCTATAAGTCAGTAACCCTACCGATGTCTGTACATACACGGCAGGAAGTCATGGAAGTCATCTCATGTATTATGAAATGAGGAAGAGCAGATCAGGGAAAACTGTAGATGAGTCCTACTTTGCTTTACATTGAAAGCTTGGACCAAACAGTACATTTAAGAACTGTTAATCTTATTAGACAAGATTTCATTATAGAATTCAATAAAATATCTCTCAAGGAGTAAAACTGTCTTGGATAGTAGCCAAGAGTATTGGCAATACTTTGCAATGCTTGAGGAGGTCTATGTGACCCCCATTGGCAAGCAACTCCTAAAAAGGTAACCCATGATTAGTAGTGGGGTTTTTCTTTGTCTGTATGAGGTTAGGGCATTGTCTGCTCATTATAGAGTAACTCCTTTAAACATGGGTGGGTGTGTGGGTGCATGCGTGCTTGTGTGTGTGTGTGTGTGTGTGTGTGTGTGTGTATAAGCATATGTATGTTTTAGGAAGTTTCTTTAGTAGTGGGTTATGATATACTTATGTTGGGAGAATAATAAATTATTAGAATTTAATGAGTCTTCAGTATATTTGCCTAGAAAGATTTATTTTAGCACTAAGGAATGGTATGTTTTTACATTTATGTATTTATTTATTTTGTGTAAGAATAGGGTCATGTACCATGTCATATCCATGGAGTTCAGAGGTCATCTGTGGAAGTTAATTCTCTCCTTTGACCTTGTAGTTCCCAAGAATCAAACTAAAGTCATTGGGTTTGCCAGCAAATTCCTTTACACACTGAGCCATCTCCTGTCCCAAGCCAAAAAATTCTAAAATATCTTAAGCACTGTTTGTAATGCTTGGTGCAAAGAAATTTCTAAGGAAAATTTAGTTTTCCATAGAAAAAAAGAAGTTGAGAACTAAAAGAATCAAAGTTCACTCAAGGTCATTTTCTGCACCAAAGCTTTCAGATTCAATATTCCTTCCAAGGCAAATAAACTTTCTAGAACAAGGAACCAGAGGATATCTAGGCTATGAAGGCTGTTCTGATATATATCACATCTTGGGCACTGTACCGGAAGAATTCCTGCAAATCTGTCACAGCATCTTGAGCACATTCTTCAAATGACGAAGAATTTTTCCACGCCAAGCTCCACAGAAGCAGCATGGCATGCTGTATCCTTTCTGAGTGAGTCTTTGGTGCAGAGATAAAAGTGGGCAGTTTTGATGATGAGCTAAGTTCAGATATAAGACTGGAATATCAACTGTCATTCTGAAAAATAAAACAAGAAAAATAGCTATTGTGCTGAAGACTTTGAAGTTTACACATTTAAAAGCACATAAAGATCCCACGTGTGGGCAAGAGAATGACTGTGTTTGCTGATCAAATAGAATGTAGGTTCTGTTTAAAACCATTAATTAGCTGGTTCTTGGCAATAGCATATCACTACATAAGTCATGTCTACTGCTTGCGTGGAATATAAACTTCAAATAAGTAGACTGCCTCCTCCATTCTCAAATGGGCTGCCTGGAAGCACATAAATTAGGCCACCTTCTGAAGCTGCCTGTCCCAGTTCTCTGCAGATTACATTTTTAATGATAGCTGGGAGTTTTCACTCTTGGGTCAGAGTATGTTGACAGAAGCTGCATTGTCATAGCACCAGTAAGAAAGGCTGAGATTTGGAATTTTTTCCTTTCCTGATCTCTAAGGTTTTGTTTAGTATCTGTGTGCTTTATCATTAAAGAATAAGACAGAAATCCTGCTTCCAGGTTATTTTCCTATTTCCTCAACACTGAAGATGTGATTTTCTTTTTCTACTTGAAGGCTCACAAATGTCAATTTTGAATTACAAAATTTATACACACAAATGTGTTCTCTTGTTCAGCTAGGAGAAACCCTGTGCAGATGCATGTATCATGACCCCTTCAGATGACATAATGTAAGACAGACTCTCTGTATTGAGAAAATAAATCAGTGGGCTGGAGACCACACAGAAACAGAGTGAATGAAAAACAATTATGTCAGAATTAACCATGCTAAAAGGTGTGTGTGTGTGTGTGTGTGTGTGTGTGTCTGTGTGTATGTGTGTGTGTTATGCAGATGTGAGATAAGGTGCACATATGCATTCTACTGTAAAAATATGGAAATCAGAGTACACCCCTAGGTTGTCTTCCATGTTGTTTGAGACATCTTTGTGCCCATCACTTCATCTGCTGTCCTAGCTGATATGTGAGTATCCAGAAATTCTCCTGGTTCTGAGCCCATCTCATCCTAGGTGTATGGGATACCAGACACATGCTATGTTGCCACCCTTACTTGAATTCTAGGGGTTCAAACACAGGTTATCACATTTTTATAGCAAGTCTTGATCCAATGAGCCATCATTCATCCTCGTAAAAAGAATACTTATTGCTATTGCAGTAATGGTGGTGACAGTTCTCACTTCTAGGGTGATGGCAGGCATGTGACTAGGAGTGCTTGATGCATTCCACTTAATTCTCTCTGTACCCTGGTGAACTAGATACTACCTTGTCCACTTTTTGATGAGCACTGAGGTTTCATCATGTTAAAGAAATAACTATGACTTCATTGGAGGCAGAATTCATCCCCAGGCTGGTTTGATTTCACATGCAACTACTGAACTTCCAAACTTCATGGTTTGTCTCTGGTGTTAAAGCAGCAATCATGTTAATGCCACACAAAGCAGAATTCTTATGCAATAAGCAGGTGCATAGGTTTTCTTGTTCTAAAAATGAGAAAAGCATTTCTTCTCACCTCTCCTCTCATATGAGATGAAGTAAGTCCAGGCATGTGACCTGTGTCTTTCTCCATTTTATCATTTATCCTGGTCGTTGGCATCATTCAAATGAAATGAGAGGTTCTCTTAAGTCTGGTTTTAACCAGGACTGATAGGACATTCCAGTCCAACTCTTTTCTGGGTCCCTCCATAGGTGAGGCTCCCTTACCTTCTAGTGCAGTGTGTTCCAACTTCAAATCTCTCTTATAGTGATGGGCTACCATTTCTCTACCCCCATGACATGCAGAATATGCTTAATTTGACCAGCAGTTTTAAAAGATGATTTATTCTCAGTGAAATACATGAAGGCAAAGCTGAGCAAGGGTTATCTTAAGTATTGTGGAAGCAGGTTCCTCACAATACACTACACTGGTCAGTGATAGGTAAGAAAACAACTTTTGAGAAGAAATATTTTATATCACAAAATCTTAAATTGGTGAAACTGTCTAGGTCAAGAAGCTTTCAGTTAATAGACAGAGAGAGAGAGAGAAAGAGAGGAGATTTTGGGTTCTTTTGGCTTTTGAAACAGGAAACTCTGTCCCTGTTTTCATAGTTTTCACTCTCTTTAGTTCTTTGAGAATTTTATGCAATATATGCTGGGTCATATTCATGCCCTAATTCCACATTGATCAACTTCCTTTCCCTACCCACCTAATTTTGTGTCCTCATTTTAAAAATCCCATGGAATCTAATTTGTGCTGCTTACATACTCTTGGTTGTATGACCATCTACCAGAATGTTATCACTCCATCACATGTCACATCTTTAAAGAAAACTGACTCTACTTCTCCCAGGAGATATCAGTTGCCAATAGAACCTCTGCCAGTGGGTGTGACACCAAGTGCCAGACCTGCACACAAATTTCCACATACTCATTAAAAATTATCAGGTGTCTCTGAACCTTCCCTTTTCTAAACTAAAAGTTCTTTCCTTCTATCAGTCATTCCTCACAGGGTGAGTTTAGCAATCTCCTCATGTTGTTCCACTTCTCTGAAGCACTATTGCTAGTCTAAACCTCATTTTGCATTCTCTCATACACAATCTACTTCAAAAGTCTAACTGTGGTATTAGAGTAGCTTCTCTTTCCATTTGTAAAACAGCAAATAACACTTTATCTTCCTCATAACATCAATCAGACTTAGGTCTAAATATTTCAAGAATGCTTTCCATTTTGAATAACCACTTAAAATCCAACTTCCAAGTCATTGTCAAGTAAAGGCCATGAAACTCCTTTGACTATTGCATTCTGATGCATTACTTCTCCTTTTATCTGCTTTGTGTAGTTGGTGTTAAGGTTGCTCCACTCAGGAGCCAGATTATATCTTATCACCATCTATATACTATGCAGCTTTCTTTCCTCTTGATTTTCCCTTTCTCCACTTCAGGATGTTCTCACTTCCCAAGAGGAGGGTCTCAAAAGGAACAAAGAAGGAGAATCTTTCAAAGAGGAAGGTCAAGGATACACCCTTGATTCTGTCTGAGCTATTAACTATATGCTTCCAAAGCCTCTTAACAAAATGTTCACATTCTTTAAAGGGCTACCCAGTAAAACACAGTGAATTTCTATGTGATAATCCCTTTGCATGCTTTCAATGTGTATTATTCTAGTTGGTTAATTAAAAAATCTGATTGGCCTATGGCAAGGCAGAATAAGGCTAGCCAGGAAAGCCAAACTGAAAATGCTGGGAAGAAGAAGGGTAGAATGAGAGAGATACTAGTCAGCTACAAGGGAAGTAAGATAGTAGAGGACAGGTAAATCCACAAGCCACATGGCAATACATATATTAATAGAAATGAATTAATTTAAATGTAAGAGCTAGTTAGTAATGAGCCCAAGCTATTAGCAAAGCATTTATAATTAATATAAGCCTCTATGGAACAAGGCAGTCAGGACAGGAAAGCTCAATCTATCGTAAATGCAGATAGCTAAGATTTTTAAGAAATTTATAAAAATTAAAATTAATACTTTAGAAATTTCCAGTAACTATTGAATGACTAAATAGTGAACAAGGTTTTCTATACTATATGCTTTACTATACTTGTGGACTCATGTGTTGATTTCTTAATTTACTATGATTAAAATAAAAGTAGGGAGAACTCATTGAGTGACAGATGATTGCTGGGTACATGTTATAACATAATGAATACTGAGGTCCTTGTTCATTGGACCCTCAAAAGGTAACAACTGTCACTCATGACCTGACAGCTGATATAATAGGGGAATTCTGGTCCCATACTGCATGCTCAACATGTTGTTAAATATAAATCAAAAACTCAGATTTTATATAAGGAAGAAGAAAACAACAAATTGAAAATATTAAGAATTTCAATACTGGTGTACATATCAAATTCAAGAGGTAGGATAGACACTAGTATTTACCTTTTACTTTAAGTCCTTATTAAAGACAACTTATTTAAAATTCATGGTTAGTTTATCGCTAACACATCAGGGCTAAGTTTCCATTTTCATTCAGATAATGGCATACTTCAGGCATAAATGCAATTGAGAATATTTTATTTCTACATTCCCAATGACTTGTGTGACATGGCATTTTCCCTTGGTTTCCTAGATCCACAAGTAATGTCACCCATGCATAGTCACCAAGATACGCACATATATTAAGTGGCTTATCAAGCAGGCATCTGCTGAGAATTTGTCATGGTGATTAATTAAAGTAGAGGCAAGTGTGGGAAGGAATATTCCCGCATGCCGTCCACTGTGAAGTGACTTTTTGAGAGACTGTCTTATCACAATTAAATTCCAATTTCACAGTTTACTAGTTTTTTTTCCACTGCAAACATGACAGCATTCACAATACCAAAGGAGTGTAAAGAGCTGACATACTGCTTACTGTCTGGCTGCACATTATATTCCCACATGGAAAGTAGGCAGTACACGGATATACATGGCTTGGAGGGAAGTTAAATTGGCTTGCTTGAGAATAAACATTCAGCATTTAATGAATTTTCTATGAGGAATTCAGGGATTCTTTTGGTTTTTGTACAAGTATAGAAATAATTCAGGTGGATCTCATCACTGGTTGTTTGAACTTCCCTGTATGTGGGAATGCTGGACATTATTAGGGAATTGTTATTTAATTTCATATCTAGAGGTCCCCAAAGAAGGAACACAACCCTAAGGAAGTAGAAACCTAATGCTGGTGCTTAAGAAACTTGCAAAGCATTTGCATATACTCCAACTTGAGAAGATTTTTCAAAAGAATACACCATAATTTAAAGAGAATCTTATTCTTTGAGAGAAGCCTTCCCGCCAGCCTGGTTCTAGAGCCGCATCAGTCCCAAATAAACACACAGGAGGCTTTATTAATTATGAAGCTGTTGGCCTTGCTTGTTTCTTACTGGCTAGCTCTGACTTAAGTAATTACCCCATAATTGTTAATCTAAGTATGTCTCTTACCGGAAAATAGTTCCGGGCTTCCTACCCCATGGCGTTATATCTGGACTCCTGTGTTCCTCCTTCCCAGAGTTCTCCT